ACAGGAACACTTACAGGAACACTTACAGGAACACTTACAGGAACACTTACAGGAACATTTACAGGAACATTTACAGGAACATTTACAGGAACACTTACAGGAACATTTACAGGAACATTTACAGGAACATTTACAGGAACACTTACAGGAACACAGCAGCTTCGTACCGACTCTGTGCAGCTTCAGCTCCGGTTTAATGTGATTGTTGTAGACTTCGAGTCTGTTTCTTGTATTTAAGAGTGTGGTGGAGCTCCTGGTGGTTGTGTGAGCAGGTTCAGAGCTACGTACCGACTCTGTGCAGCTTCAGCTCAGGTTTCCAGCTGACATCCAGCAGTCTGCGCTGACGGTCGAGCTCTTCTTCGTACCGCAGGATCGTCTTCTCAAACTCGGAGAAGATTTCTGAGGCAGCAGCGCTCAGTCTTTCACCGATGAACTCTCTCAGAAGAACAACCGAAGACATTCTGACGGTCACGGCTCAAAAGATTCAGCTCCGGAACTAAAACAAAACGGACCGTTTCCGGTTTGAGTTCTGCTTCCGGTTTTTCTTCTTCGTGGTTATTTTTGTTGTAGTTTGCTCGCAGTGAGCGAAGAACGGATCGGTTCTTTACCGCCACCTTTTGGCAGAGTCCGGAACTTCAACCCATAATAAATAAATGAATAAATAAATAAATGTATTAGTCTAACATTCGGCTCATCTATTTTCCGCTCAGTTGCTTTCTGATTTAAAATTTCTCTCTTTCATCAAAGTTTAATTACAGCTGGTCTTTGATGCTTCTTTTCATTTCTTTGTGATATCAGTTTTATCTCTGAACAAATGTTTTACTCCTACTTATTTGACCACTCTGGAACATTTGCTGATGCTTCTTGTTATTTCTTCACATAAGCAATACATTCCTCTCCTTAGTACCTACTTAACACGCATGAAGTTTCTACATGATCAAATAAATCAAGCAATCTTATTTAAAATATTAAGTGTTGCATATTTGTCAAATCAATATTTCACCAGTTATGCTAGTTTTTAAAGTGAATAAATCTGCTGTTCACATCAGATTTTATCACTTTTTAATTTAAAAATAAACCTTCTTTGTTCATAAGAACTTGTTTTTTATTTCTAATTATGAAACTGGATCTGTTCTGTTCCTGTAACCACTCTGGTGCAGTGATCTTAAACTTTATTTTCAAAATACTGTAATTTATCATATTTTCTATAAAATTATACAAATGTTAGAGCTATGGAAACAAAACTTACTCAGGATCTGTGTTGTGCAAAACTAAAACCAGAATAAACAAGTAATATATCTAATAAAAAATAGTTATTAAATGTAAATAGGACATACTACATTAAATATACAATAAGAGACTTCAGCAGAGTGAAAAGTGACCAACGTTGTTGGGATTTAAAGATGATATAAAAACTATAAACCTGTTTTTGTTGTTTAAATATAAATCCAAGAGTCTGACAGCTCCAGCAGCTTCTGAGGCCACGCTCTCACAAAAACACGTGCAACCATACTGATAACGACAATAAGAGCATGTGATCAATAGTAAATAGAGTAAACAAGGCGAGTCCTTGCTGTGCACGTGGATTTTCTCCCACAGACCTAAAACATGCACGTTAGGTTCAGTAACTGAATGAACTTTTTGTGTGAATAAAATCAATCCAGTGATTCAATTTGTGTTTTGACAGCTTTATTTTCTATAGTTGTCAAAACATTATAACAAATGTCAGAATATTGTTCAGATCGACGTCAGGCGGTTAAATGATCATCAGCACTGAGCTACAGAGCAACAAACACCATGTTGTTCATTCAACCTTTATTTGGACAGGTCAGTCCCTTTGAGCCTCAGGACTCATTGACAAGAGAGACCTGACCTCAACAAAGAAAGATACAACAAACAACAGCGACAACAGTAGACAGTTATTAAAAGGCATACAGATTTTTTTTTATTAATTACAAATAAGATGGCAAAAAGAGTAACAAAAACTGCTAGATTATAAGGCGAATGTAGAAAATGATGTTGGATGGATGTTTTGTTGTGCTTTCTTTTTGCTGTGAGTTCAAAAATAAATCATATATAATAAATATAAATCCCATCAGCGTTTTAGGTGTTCTGTAGATAAGGAGGCAGGAATAACGTTAAATAAATCATAAGGTGGAATATAAAGCAGATCTGTGGACTCCCTCTGTGACTGCTGTTGTAAATCTGATGTAGTTCCTGCTGCGACCACCAGGGGCGGAAGTCAAACAACAACCAGAAAACCAACGAAGAAGAAGAAGACGCACAAGCTAAACGCTTGAACCGGTCGATAGAACGGTTATATTTCTGTCTCTTGTCCTGTTCCGGTGCAGAAACCACCGTTTTAATGTCCTAAAGAGTTTACGAGCGCTTCTGGAGAAAGTTTAATGGACTCCGAAGAAGCGAATCTTGGCGGAGAAGAGTTCGGAGCCGACCCATGGATTTCTGCTGGAACCCCCTGAAGAAGAAGCTGCACGGTCTGTAACTTGAACTTCACTTAAGTTTTCAACATATTTACAGATGCAGCTTCTTAAAAACCCGCAAGGTTTCCAGCTGAGTAGAAGTTCACCTCCAGAAACAAGTTCTGTGTTTTCTGGTCGTTGTCTGGAACAAAACTGTGGATGATCAATGACCCAGTTTACAGTTTACCTCCTTCTATAAAAACCATATGGTGGTGTCGCTGGGTGACCTTTGACCCCTGCTGTTTATACTGGATGTTCATGCAGGTAAATCAACACATTTATGGATGTGGGCTCCTTACATTTAAAACATGAAGCATCATTAAATGTTTAAATCAGAGACGTCGCCTGAGGACTTTTCTTCAGGTTGGAGTTCTTCTGCGACCTTCAGGCATGAGTTCATGTCTTTATTCTGTCCGCCGCTCCGTTTCCTCCTGCAGCTTGAAGAGACGGCAGCTCTGAGGAAAACAAGCGTCACGGTGTCGCGTCATCTTTCACTGACTTCCTGTTTGTTTCATGAAGCAGCTTCAAGTTTGAACCAGTCGTGTCCAGACCTGTTAACACAAAGCGGACTGTAAAACTGGACCTGGGTCTTCCTGACGCATCCTGAGGATTTCTTCAGTCTGAGGTGCTGTATTCAGCTCAGTCTCTTAAATAGCACCTTCTCAGAGTGGATCAACCAGTTTGCTGCTTACAACCAGAACCAGCTGATCACATGCTCAAGGATTGCCTCAAACTAGTTAGAGAGTTTGAGAAAACAGCAAGGAAGAGGGCAGACTACAGGAACCATTTGCGATTCAACCTCAGATGTCGACCAAGTGGCATAATTCCCAAGAGCCTGGAACTAAAATCTTCGGTCAGCGGGCACCGGGCAAGCAAGATCCTTCAGAAGGCACAGACCCAGCTGCTGAATGAACGGGTGAGACAGACCAATTTTACTATTGAGGCCTTGAAGGCCAAAGAAGAGCACATTAAACAGAAACTAACAACGTGTCTAGATCAGACCACACTTCAGCAAGTGTACTGGACTGTACAGATCAGGCACGCTTAGCACAGCATGTCAAGTCCAAGACTCGACAACAAAATAAGTTTAACTTACTAATCGCTCATCAACACCATCACTATTCCAATAACACATTCAGTGTAGGACAACACTCCAGTAGTCAATTACATGCCAGGGAGACAGAAAAGTGGGTGAAGAATTTATCTGACAGACAGCTCACCCAGCCAGAGACAGAGATTCTTGCCAGGGGACTGAACTTTGTGGTTGCACCAAGTAGAATTCCTCTGGTGGAGATGATCACAGCTACTGAGTCAGCCATCCGCAACAACAAAATGAAAGAGGCTGAAGCAGAACAGCTCAGAATCAAAGTTTCAGCCTGCCTCAGCAATGCCAAACCACCACCTTCCAACATCAGTAGAGAGGAGAGGGATGCACTCACCACTCTTAGCAAGGACAAAAACATCATCATTCTCCCAGCAGACAAAGGAAGGTGCACAGTGATTTTGAACCAGAAAGACTATCATGAGAAAGTTATGACACTCCTTAGTGACTTAACCACTTATGAACCTCTGAAAAGAGATCCAGGAAGTGGTTACAAGAAGAAGTTGATAGATTGCCTGAAAATTTTGGAGCAGGACAAGGCTATTGACCGTTTTCTGTACCACAGACTGTACCCAGGGGAGGCCACACCTAGTCTGTATGGTTTACCTAAAATCCACAAACAAGGTGTACCTTTAAGACCTATTGTTAGCATGATTAACTCTGTCACTTACAATGTTTCCAAATATCTGGCGTCTGTACTCATCCCTTTAGTTGGCAGCTCAGAACACCACATACAGAACACCATGGACTTTGTGGATAAGGTGAGGGATGTCATCATGGAGACTGATGAAACAATGGTCTCTTTTGATGTCACATCACTCTTTACGTGCATTCCTGTTGATGATGCAGTAGAGGTGGTCAGTTTAAGATTAAAATCAGACACCACTCTGAGCAGCAGGACCACACTTTCCACAGAACCACTGTGTCAACTCTTGAAACTGTGCCTGCAGTCAACCTACTTCACATATGGGGAGCAATATTATAGTCAGAAACATGGGTGTGCTATGGGGTCTCCAGTTTCTCCTATTGTTGCCAACCTGTACATGGAGGAGGTAGAAAAGAGAGCCTTGACGTCCTTTTCAGGGACACCACCAAGTCATTGGTTCAGGTATGTTGACGACACCTGGGTTAAAATTAAATCTCAGGAAGTCCAACATTTTACTGACCACATCAACTCTGTGGATAAATACATCAAGTTCACACGAGAAGATGTAAAAAATGGCAGGTTGGCTTTCTTGGACTGTGAGGTCTCAGTCTCTGATAGAGGACATTTGCAAACCGAGGTGTACCACAAACCCACCCACACAGACCAGTATTTGCAGTTTGACTCCCATCACCCTTTGGAGCACAAGTTAGGAGTCATCAGGACTCTGTACCACAGAGCAGACAGCGTCCCCACTAGCTCAGGAGCCAGGCAGAAGGAGAAATCCCACATAAGACAGGCTCTAGAGCAATGTGGATATCCTAACTGGGCCTTCCTGAAAGCAGAGAAGAAACCCAAACAGGACTCCAGTCAGCCATCAGGTGAAAAGGAGGAACCCAGACCCAGACCAGTGGTCATTCCATATGTTGAGGGAGTATCAGAGAAACTGAGACGTTTATTTTCTAAACATAACGTCCCAGTGGCTTTTAAACCCCAAAATACATTAAAGACTGGTTCATCCCAAAGATCCAGTCCCCCGGCACAAACAGAGTAATGTTGTGTATGTTGTTCAGTGTCAGGAGGGTGATCAGTCTTACATCGGAGAAACTAAACAGCCACTGGCCAAAAGGATGGCCCAGCACAGAAGATCAACATCATCAGGCCAGGACTCTGCGGTCTACACTCATCTCCAGGTCAGAGGTCACTCTTTCAGGGATGAAGATGTTCACATCCTGGACAGAGAGGAACGATGGTTTGAGAGAGGAGTAAAGGAGGCCATCTTTGTGAAAAGAAACCGTCCATCATTAAACAGGGGCGGAGCCTCCAGGTTCAACTGTCCCCCTCTTACAATGCTGTTATTGCTAGTATCACTCAGCCCTCTGTGAATAGTAAACAGCCATCAGTGTGCTAATGATCCATTGTTAGGCTGATGGTCCTTCTTGAGCATGTGATCAGCTGGTTTTGGTTGTCAGCAGCAAACTGGTTGATCCACTCTGAGAAGGTGCTATTTAAGAGACTGAGCAGAAAACAGCACCTCAGACTGAGGAAGTCCTCAGGATGAGAGACGAAACGTTTCTAGATTTTTTGCTTTGTTTTTTTTTGTTTGTTTTTTTTGAATGTCCAGACGACCAGACTGAACTTTTTTGGATGAACCTGGGTCAGTTTTACTGGAGTCCCTTCAAGCCTTCGTGATCAGGTTTCTGACAGGACGGACCTCCTCGGTGGAGTCGGCCTCCATGCCCCCGTCTCTGGGGTTTGAACGCTGAATGTTTGGAGTGTTTTTTCTGGACAAACTGAACAGAGAGTGAAGTAAACCTAAATGTTTTTACTGCAAGAAATTCAGGGGGCAGGAGTTACTCTGAGGAGGAGAACAGAGGGAGGATTTATCTCTTCTGAGGCGCAGAGTGACGGATCCTGGAGAGCGGAGGAGGGAGACATTTTAGCCGCCGTTAGGAGCAGTGGAGGAGCGAGGGGGTGGCCACTGGTGGCCTTGGCCCCCATAGATTAATCTTCAGCCACCCCAATCTTTTGAGGAAACTCTACTTTTAAGCAAAATAATAAGTAGAAAGCATGTTTTTCTCAAATGATCGAGGTGACCAGTTTTTATTGCAAGGCTTTTATCACAGCTGGACTACGGAGGCGCAGTCTTTTTACATTTGTGTCCCCCACTACCTTTACCAAACTGGAGCCCATTTAGCTGCTCTGAGGTACAGAACAGGTTCACACTTTAGGACTCACCGTTGTACTTTATATGTTCTGTTACGGCCCGGCTCAGCCAGGAAAAGGGGAGGTAACATTAAAACCAGGTGGAAAGAGGTTTTAAATAAAAGAAGTGATTTATTTGGTCAGTTGAACAAAATTAACAAAAACAGGGAATTTTCAACGTTCCAGTTACCAAGGATGGTTTACAACTGTAACTTCTAACAAAGGGGATAATAAAATTAATGCTGAACAATTGAGTTTCACCTTAAACCACATTTATACAGAATCCAAAACAGATTTTTACTAGTACCAGTAATTCTTCTGACTGTGTTCAGAAGTTCACACCAACACAGACAGACAGCTCCAACTGCAGGAATGAACTTTCAGCCAAACCAAACATTTCCTGAACAAAGACACCAAATAAACAAACAAACAAACAAACAAACAACAGCTGCCCTGACTGGCAGGAGAGCTGAGCCTAAATAGGCCGGCCTCTTCTGTGGTTGGAGGAGCACGAGGTGAAGAAGCCAACCAGGATGCAGATGGATCATCAGGAGGAGTCAGAAGAGGCCAGCCAATCCCAGATGGGCCACAGCACAGCTGGGTCAAACATCTGGCCTCAAGCCATAGCGCTCTTGCTGGACTTCACTCAATATCTGAAGGATGAAGCGTTGATATATTTTAATACAAAGCCATTGTAGGAAAATGACCATCATAGATCTGCTCCAAGTTCACTCCAGAACACAGAGTCTCAGGGCCAGGCTGTGGTTTAAGGTACCCAGTAGCTGGCTGTGGTTTAAGGTACCCAGTAGCAGGCTGTGGTTTAAGGTACCCAGTAGCTGGCTGTGGTTTAAAGTACCCAGTAGCAGGCTGTGGTTTAAGGTACCCAGTAGCAGGCTGTGGTTCAAGGTACCCAGTAGCTGGCTGTGGTTTAAAGTACCCAGTAGCAGGCTGTGGTTTAAAGTACCCAGTAGCAGGCTGTGGTTTAAGGTACCCAGTAGCAGTCTGTGGTTTAAGGTACCCAGTAGCAGGCTGTGGTTCAAGGTACCCAGTAGCTGGCTGTGGTTTAAAGTACCCAGTAGCAGGCTGTGGTTTAAAGTACCCAGTAGCTGGCTGTGGTTTAAGGTACCCAGTAGCAGGCTGTGGTTTAAAGTACCCAGTAGCAGGCTGTGGTTTAAAGTACCCAGTAGCAGGCTGTGGTTTAAAGTACCCAGTAGCAGGCTGTG